TTTGTAGTGTCAAGCTACTGAGATTATGAAATATCGACTTTATTTAGTTGTGGCATTAAGGTCTAAGTAGGTATCAAATGTAGTATTTCAAGATAATGGCTTATGAAGAAGCATTGTTTATAACTTTTATAGTTTAAGCATCTGTAACCAAAGACTTCAGCTGAGTTTCAGTGTTTCGTTCTTTATCACAGAATCTGTCCTAATACCCAATATAGTGTTCCAGTATACACGTTGGAAGGAATAATTTCATACAGCTTTGGTCCTGCCTTTGTGGATTTAATGATGTTCAAAATATGAACCTATTAGAATAATAATAAAATATAACTTTGACCATTAATATGTTCCTATTGGCTCAGTTTAATTTCTAAGATATCTTTCTTCTTCATTCGCAATGCATTATTAGGTAAAATGCCAACTGTGGTATCTCCAGAATTATACCGTACCAGATTTTGTGAAGCGATGGATAAGTACTTTTTGATGGTGCCAGATCACTGGACAGGCCTGGGCCTGAATTGCTAAGCTAAAGTGATGTGATGGAATGATTTCTTCTGATTTGAAAAGAATATAACAGAGCGCTGTCTTTCTACATTGCTATCCTCAACTCGTTCTCTTCAACAGCAACTCAAGGATCTTCTGCCACAGCTTTCACAGCTGGGCTTTCTTGCCACATGAATTTGCCCTTGAGGTGTCAGAACTGCAGTGGAAGAAGCTGCAGAGTAGCATTCAGAGTTTTCTGAATCAGAATGGTACTTAAGTAAACAAGTCTCGGATCAAGAGGGAGCCCGCCAGAAATTATTCTACATCGTATTGATGCACTGAAATCTGTTGCAATGATGGCCTGCACAGAAAAGCCAGTGGTTCTTGCAAACAGTTGAAACAATAGTCTTAATGATAGGGGGCATGCTGGCCCAGTTCAACTAGCCCAACAATTGCAGTTCTGATACTGCTGTCTTTAATCATGAGGAACCAAGTCAGTCTGTTAATAGTGCTGCTGCTGTGGTAAGAGTTGATTTTGTAAGCATTATTGTGTATTGTGTGATTTGTTATGCACTGGATTTATTTTGCAACTTTCCATTGAGCAGTATTTTGACTATTTTAATCATTCATACATCCCAGATAGTCATTTGAAGCCCTGTTTTAATGTTACACAGTTTCTCTGTGGTCTGATATTTTACTGGAGGGCTACTTCTCTTTCTGAATTCTAGCTTAGGTTTCAACCAAACTTCAGAAAAGTTCAGGTTCAAACATATATGTGCCCCAAAGGCAAATTTTCTCAAGTGGAATCTCTGTGGTTGAGGATCAAACTGCCTCAAACCACTAGGTGTTACCTTAAAATACGCCTTTAGCTCTGTTCCATTCCTCTCTTTCCTGTCACACTAAAATATTGGGATGCTTTTGATTAGATTTTGTTTTAATTCAGTAACTAATAGCTACTTTATAAACATTATCCTAGTTTCTTTTCATTTCAGCACCATTTGTGGAATGTAATATTGATGTTGCTCTGCTGCACATACTCAGGTTGTGTTAATACATTAGACTGTTTAAACAGTAGTTCCTTTGGCACCATGAACCATTTGCAGTTGTGGTAGATGCTCTGAACGAGAAAAGAATTAGGAGGATGTGTGTGTGTATATGGGGTGGGTGGCAACTTAGGCTTCATGGGTGAAGATTTGGGTACTTTTACAAACTGAGAGTAAGCACTTTTTAAAATATTTTTTGTAAATAGAAAATGTTTACTGCATTAAAAAATGTGTCATTAAGCAGACAAGACTAACATTCATAGCCTTACTAATTGTCTACTATCTTGGTTTGAGCCCAAGTAGTTTCCTTGAGTTAAGTTTTCCCTTTTGATCACTCTTCTGTTTGCAGCCAGGAGCCTTAAACCTACACTATTTTGCATGGCCTAGGGAAAGTTGAGAGCATTCTAGGAAGTCATTAAGCTCTGGCTTAGAGTCAGTTGATAATACATGTGTGGACTAGATTGTAGGTTGGATTTTTCATGGGGAAGTTCATATCTTAACTCAGCTTTTGACTAGTCTTACCATTTAAGTTTATGTCTGAAACAGTAAGGATTTTTATATGAAACCAGATAATCTGTTTGAATAAATTAATGTTTATACCCAAGTTTTTATTCTGTTTATATTCCTTTTATTTATTTATTTCTAGCTATTGGCTAAAAGCCATTAGCTTTGATCTCCATGAAAAAACACATTCCTTAATTATTCGTTACTTAAACAGCAGTATTAGTATTTAGCAGGCTTAAAGTAATTTGGAGCAGATGTCTTGCCTGAGCTTAAGGAACAAAATACAGCAGGAAGTGGCTTTCCAAGGGCCACTTCTTTGCTAATTATCCGGAGGGCAAAATATGTGTATGCAGGTTGTGAGTAATGAATATGCATCTTAATACACAAGTAGCAACTGAAAATGTCATATTCCAACTCAAATGTATCTTCCTTGGCCACAGTTGAAGCCAGACCATTGACAGCAGCATTTTTTTTTCCTGCACACACATGCACGGATTTGACCTGTTACATAGTACATCCAGCTGATGTAACTTCCAACAAGAGTTAATGGTGATTGGAGTTCTGCATCATGGGGAAAATGTTCAGGAGCACCACAGCTAGAAATGATAGCAGAGTTTTTCTTTTCTAAATGGATTACTGTTGAAGATAGTCCTTAACATTTCAAATTCTCTTAATAACGACTTCCTTACATTTTGAAAAAAGTTAATAAATGCCATTGAACAGACTGTTTATATCAGAAATATGTAGGGTAGGCCCCCAAATCTTGATCGGTTATTTAGTTTGTGACCTCTTTAAATTAAAATGGGATGTTAACACAGTATTCTAGAAGCAAATATTTTGAACAGTATTCAAGTTCTGCTCACTTCAATGTGTTCCTTTTAATTTTGATGTGTATGTGTATTTCTTGTGTCTCTCTATATAATTAAGTCTACAATTGTGGGAAAGACATATTTCATTAACTGTTCTGTTGGGGACGGGAAGAAGGTGTTATGTTCATATCATGCAACTTAACAGGCAATCCATATTGCTGCAACCTAAACGATGGGCATTGTTCATTAAATTAATACACTCCAAGAAATTATCTCTGTTATAATGGGGAAAAACAATTGAATCAAAATGTTAAAAATTATCACGTTAGCCATAAAACATATTCAGATAATTTATTTAATGTATATAATGTATATATTTCTATCTTTCCTTAGTTGAGGTGTATTTTTTATGATTCTGATATGTTAAACTATTTAATTACATTTTCTCCATTTACAAAATTATGTATAGAGAGAGTAACAATAAAGTAATTGAAATATTATCAGTTGTGCCCACCTGGTTTATTTCATCCCTGGCTCAAAACATTAACGTTGGCATTATAGCATGAGAAGATTGACTTGCGTTGACTATGTACCAAAGTTTATTGCTAGAGATATTACAAGAATTTGCTGTGCATTGCTGTACTTTAGCACGGATTTTAGAAAAGGGTAGGCTAGAATGGGTGGGTCAGACTTGAAATGGAGTGCTTCGTTGGCTTTTTCAATTCTAAGGAGCTTGCCAATGCCCTCTCCGTTGCCCACAAAAGGATTGAGAACTGCAGTACTGTTGCAGCTGCCGTCCTTCTGTTGGAGCATCTCATGTGTCATGCAAGCAGATCACCCTTCCGAGGCATAAAATCAGGAGTTTGCATCTGATGAATTGAGCTGCAGTTCATGAAAACTTACGCCTTTTAATAAAATGTGTTAGCTGGAAAAGATGCTACCAGACTCCTGATTTTTTTGTCACCAGAGACTTAACATGGCTCTCCTACAATGCTTTCAGAGGGATACACACTATCTACAGGTCCTAGAATTCCCATTTGTTGCCCAGGATTTCTGGGAAGTTAGTGGGAAGGCTGCTGCTGCATAGCTGCTGTTTTTTTGTCAGTTTCTTCTTTGCGAATGCCTTTGTGTTGTGGAGCCAAAGAAAACAACAGATGTAGAACTGCTGCTTGAATAACATACTTATGGTTTGGGTTCCTGCATCTTCCAAACCTGGAAATATGGTCACTTTAGTTGTGATCCTGATTATGGCTTAAGGCAGTTTCGAACAATTAGTTTTTATCCACCCCTCCAGCACCATCCTCATCGCTTCATATTTTCCTCCACTCTGAAGGTTGTGGGTCCAATCCCAATCCTGCCACCAACGTGTGTGTGTGTGTGTGTGTGTATTTTAAGGATTCGCAGGCTAGGGCCATGAATCGTCCAGCTGTAGAAAGGGATCTTTTTTTTTCCGGTGGCTCGTGGCCCAAACCGGGCTCTTGCCACCATTGGCCTCCCTGGTTCAACCGCCTTTGCCGAAAAGTCAGATTCGGCCGGACTGCCTATTCCGCTCACAGCGTCGAGCACTGCAAATGAATCATTCGGCTGCTCTGCAATTTCCTTCCTTCATCCCCGCTTGCCACGCTTCTTTAATTTTTTGTACTGCTGTGTGTGGCTCTGCAGGTCCTTTCTGTCCAGCCTCGTTATGCATTTGCATTTTTTACACCATTCCTGTTGCAGGATGGGAAAAGGGGATTTGCGCTAGGCGGGCGTTGGGAATGAACCGGCTGGTCTCCCGGGCTCCCCCTGCCCCGCCGTCTCCCCTCTCTTCGCCCACGGCTCCTTCCCAGAGGCGAAACTCAGGCCGGCAGAGGGAACCTCGCTACACCTGCCTTCCTCCTCGGCCGGAAGGCTCGCGGGGCGGGAATTCCGTTCCCGGAGAAGGGAAGGGGAAGGGTCGCCGCTGCCCCA